AACATCTTTTTGGTAAAACGTAAAAACTATGACAAAATTTTGAACTTAATTTTCCGTACAAAAAGGAAATAAATCAGATTGATAGTACGTGATGCTTTGAAATAAATAAGGTTAATGAACAAGATCTGATAAATTTTTTTTTAAATTTAATGACCATTTCAGGAGTGATTTTCCAACACATACATTACCTAACAATATTTATTGATTATCATAATTATTAATCATGAATATTGATTTTAGAATTTATAAATTGGAGCATAAAATTTTTCTGAGCGTATGAAGGGGGGGGGGGAGGTAAAATAAATCTAGGCACTCAGATTTATATTACATTTTTGTTGTACTATATTTATTGAATACTTGCCGTTACCACATATTTGAAAACAGCATCTTTAGAATTTCCGACTGAGATAAACTGTTATTTTTGACAGTGTTCGCTCTGAACTCATTGAGTTTGTTAAAAAATTCGTTAAAGTTTACAAAATATGAAAGGATAAAACAAATTCGAAATTTGGCCATCCAGATCCCATGTTCGGGTGGAATTAACATTATTCAAATTTTGATGGCTAGATGCTGTCGTTTTGTCAGCAGCGAAACATACATGTATTCATGCAGATTCTTCATTATTTAATTTCTTAATATAATACAGGGGATAATATTTGGTAACAACACCTTTGTAAACAGCGCAAAATTCCGTTCGAAACTAACATGCTTTCTAGCTACCGCCCCTTTGGGCTAATAAATTAAAGTAAAAAAAAAAAAAAAAAAAACTATGCAGAACTAAAAATAATTAAAAAATAATGACTAAAATACAAGCAAATTATTATTACGGTTAAATACAGTTTTAATATTAGAATTAAATGTATAAAATTAAGGAGTCAAAGTTTTATCACTATGGTGTATTATGAAATAATTGAAATAAAATTCCTTTATAAAATTGTGCTATAATACTCATCTATAATTTAAAAAAGCAGAACAATTTAAATTTGAAACAAACTTCAAAATTCGTTTAACTATTTTGTATTTTTACTTATTTAAACCAATAAAAAGATAAAAATTGCAAGAAAATGCTTGTTGAAATTTTCCATTAGTTTCAGATTCAAATGTTAATTTCTAAAGATAGTTGCAAATTTCCTTACAGCATAGAAAAGCTAAAACATATCCAGCCCTGAAAGCATGCAATAGCTTTAATAATTATTTGGAATGTTAATTTGCTGGATAATACGCTAATTTTAAAATCAATCTCAATTCAAAGTAAAAATATGAGAAGTCTAATTTGAATGAGGCGCTACAAACAGCTTGACAATAGACAAAAGCAACCACTGTTAATAATTCGTCCTACTCCCGGATGTGATCAGGACAGCAGGACGCCTCAGACGAAGGAGAAAACCCATTTGGGTTAGTCTATTTCTTATAAGGTCCATGGCTATACTTTGCCTATACATTCAACGTTTGTAATATAGCTCATTAATAACAAAAAGTGTATTTAATTAAAAAGTATTGCTGTTTGCTAATAGTAATACAGGATTGTATTTTGTTGCATGCCATACTGAAAAGTTTTCTTCCTTTTAACAATTTTTTTACGATTGTATTTTAGTAATTATTCACAATATGTAACTGATGGACGGATAGCATTTCCATAAGTTACATGTAATACAAATAATGCGTAATACAAAATTTCTTGAACAAAAGCCATCATCACGTAAAATTTTAAAGCTTTGATTTTTTTTTTTTTTTTTAATATTTTCCCCCTCAGCTTTTGTATATAAAGAAAGTTTTTTATGTTCAGCTTCATGTCATTTTTTTATCTTCATGCTGTAAAAATAAAACAAAAAGTAAAATTTTCTATCATAGTGGAGATAAACTCTGTATCCATATATATCTGAGGTATGTTTAATTCTCAAAGTGAATTTAATGCAATTAAAATTTAAGAATGCATCCATGTTTATATTTTATAAGAAATGTTAATTGCATTACCTTTTTATGAAATTTATTACTCTTCATCTCTTGTACTTGTTTCCAGGAACATTTGAATACTGTCTGTACTAGCTTCAAAATTTTACTGTGCATAGCTCATTTTAATTAGCGTCATGTATCAGTATGGTGTATATGAGTTTGTGTTTACCATCAAAAGGTTAATAAGGAAGAATTCTGCAGTTAGAGAGAAGTGTTTCAAAGTTTTATTTCCATTATTAATACTAAAGAAAATGAAACAGGAATGTGGAAGGTAGGTCCTGTTGACGTTATGCGACGTTATGCTATTTGTTGTAAAATACAGGTCTTTGGATAATGTACTACTGCTGAGAAATATTTTCATAATAGCTGTTAAGTGTTTCTAGATGTGATAGGATTTTTTAAATAAAAATCATTTTAGAACAAATGTTTAATTTTGCATTTAAGAAATAGTTCTGTAGTATGAGCATAGTATTCTGTAATAGGTGGCTTTGCAAACAAATATAATAATAATAATAAAATTTTTAATGATTGAATTTAAATTTTTCTTCAGACATAAAGGAAATTTTAAATTTATTTTCCTCTGTGCCATTTTTACATTCAGCCATTTGCTTATACAAAGAGGAGAGACAAATTCAAAGACTGCTCAGACACACAGCAAATGTTCTAGCTATGCCACTGGTGAGATATGATGCATATATTCCACATGACGATTGTTTAAACGAAATGATACTGAAAGCAATGTTTATGTATATTTTTTTAGAAAGCCTGGTCATTTCAGAGGTGGTTAAGTTATCACACAGAAAGTTTCATTATAATACAATTGAGCTATATTTTTAGTTTACTACTCATACTTCTTTTGATGTGGTAACAATTTTATAATGTCCAATGCTGTATAGGGAAATTAAAATTCCTAAATAAGACAAGAACAAAAATATTACCAATGAAACACGGGAGAAAAAAAAAAAAAAAAAGATAACTTGGTTTATTAATTATTGCTATCCTAGAGTTTATAATCCTATCGAAAAATGAATCAGCATTTTTAAATATTGACAATGAAATTTACTAAATCTACAGAAGGCAATGAACGAACTGAAAGCATTAATTCATTACAGTGCTTAACATTTTACAAGTGAAGGGTACTAATTTCTAAGACGATTACTGAATTGTATTTCCTTTCTGCTTTGAAAAAAAGCCTATACACCCTCTAGGAAGTCTTTTTTTCATTCTCCAGTATTTCAGATGGTGTTTGTTCATGGCTTAAGGCGTCATGTAATTTAAAAACTAATGCGGTGTTGCGATTATTACAAGGGCCATTAGTTTCAACTCTCTTTGGTAATAAATTCTATTTTGACCTCCGTGAATATCCTGCAAAAGGTAGCAACTCGTATTTCTGATGTTAGAAACTGACTACAATGGTCTGCGCCATCTATCGACACAATACATATTAGAACGTGTTTTGCTACCACCAGTATGCTTATAAAGACAAATGAGTTAGAATATTTCTTGAAGCATTTTCGGCATACTTACCTGGCACTGGGGACGCCTTGATCATCAAGGAGGCTCCCCCGAGCAGAGGCCTCTCATTGCACTTCGAGGGGTTGTTGGGTGCATATTTTGGTAGTGGGACTGCGTTCGCGCCGTCCCTGATCTTAAAAAAATAGAATATGATTTCGTCAAGACGACGTTCGACCAAGGGTCTTCCCTCCTCTGGGGCAGTCATAGTACGCATAAATGTTCCTTAAAAAGGTGTTTGTTACTTCTTTAGGTGCAGGAGGAAGGCGAGTGTGTCGCCATCTATTGGTGTTAGGAATAATAACGTCTTGAAGTTTTAAAAAACTGGACGAACGTAATTGAGTAAAATAATTGTGAGGATGAATATGAGATTGTTACTTAAGTGAGAGTGAATAATGAATCGAAGCGATGTGGTGAGGAGAGTAAAATTATCTAAATGATCGCTGGAGGTGAAAGTAGAATTTTTGCTGGTCGCATGACATGAAACTTTCAAGATCGAATCTATATTACTTTACAGAACAATTTTGGTGCATAAACAAGTAAATACAAGTAGAAAATGAAGGTGAACTTGATTAGATAGAGACGTACGTAAAGAAATAATATTTACAAGTCTCAAATTATTTCAAATCGCAAGAGAACGATAAGATAGCATATTTTGCAGGTCACGTGATGTGAAACTTTTAAGGTAGAACCTGTGTTTTACTGGTGCATAAACACGGGAATACAATTTGAACAAACATTGCAGAAGCTCCACCTTTTTAATGGTGCATCACTCTCAGGATTATATATCCAGCGTAATTTCTGATCATTCAATACTAGAATAGTATTAATAATGTTGCTAGTAATAATATACTAAGAAGTTATCTGTGTAAAGTTAATGTAATCTCTAAATTTTAACCCAGCTTTACATTATTTTGAATTAAAATTGGAACAGCTTGCGTATAACCCCATTTTTTCGCCAACGGTAAACATCGCCAAAACTCTTGCCAATCTGTAACACTGTGTGGCAACCTGATGTAAGCAGTAGAATTGAATTTTCACGCATGAAACACTCGGATTTTATTTTTATTATTAGATTTCCAGTGTTATTAAAATGGCAAGAGACAATAAGATTTGATAACTGTAGCATTTATCATTTTTAATGGGAGAAATTATTCAATGACTAACAATTTATTTGATTCAAATCCTTAAAATTATTTAACTTTATGCAATAACCATTCTTGAGAGTGAAATTTCCTTTCAATTTTATTCACTTAAATTTTTATACTCCCTAATTTTATGAAAAATTGCCTGATGTGGCAAAATTATTTTTGAAGAACATCGAATAAATTTCAGTATATTTTATCCTTGAGAAAGCACACATATGCACACACAAAAAAAGACCACTTACCTTGATTTCCACCATAAAATTATTTCCTTAATGCAAATTTAAAATTATAATCCTATATCAAAATTATTCACATACTAAATATAACACAAATACTTTAATGATGCTTTTGATTAACCAAGCAAAAGTCACCATTCAATTTCCCGAATAATTTCTAAAAATTTTGGGACTATGTCCAATTCTTTTGCTGCACATTGTTTCGAGAACATGTATTCTGCTAAATACAAACAAAGTCTCCATTTCGGTTATATTGGGGTAGCTGTGTTTTGATATGCCGCCATGTACCTTCAATTGTATTAGTGTGTGCTCCTGTAATTTCATCCACAAATGAAATGCTATGGTTTACAGTTAAGTGGTCAAATCCCAGGGTGTCTAAGCTTCGATAAGCCCTCCAGCAGTCTGTTATTATAGTTGTTCCTGGACGAATCCACTCTTGAATAACACTGATAAGTGTTTGTGCTGTACCATCATGCACAGCCACAAAAAAAGAGTCTCCACTATCACGTTCAACACCTCCAAACACCCACTGCCCTTCAACATGATGGCTCCGATGATACTTTTTTTTTCCAAATTTACTTTCATCAATTTCAACTGTCTTACCAGGTCCACCAATCATCTGGCTGTTCATTTCAATGTACTCCAGAATTGTCTCTCTTATGCATTGGCTCCAGGAGGCCATTGTGTTTGATCCAAAACCATATTCTTTCATTATCTTTGATGTAGCAATTTTTTCGAGCACATCATATGTCAACACAAAGATTTCAGCTATGGTCAGTTTGCTTTTGAAAACCATGATGATACTCGAATAGTCTTTGAAGCATAGCAAACACTGCTGTTATTTGTTTTTTTCCCACAGTAGCATGTTATGCCATCTGAGAGTTTGGGATCATTTTTTAGAACCATCGAACAGTTGCATTTAGGACACAGCATACTACTCTAAATTAGCTCAGCCTCTTTTAAAAATTCAAGCAAAATGTCTTGCTTTGTGCACAGAAACACGAAGAATAGCCTAGTGGGGCTATCATTTTCCCCCAAACAATTACCAATGGCTGGCAGCTGACAAGAATTGGCTATAATGCTTTGATATTTTTCTATTATACTCTTTAGTGGTGCCATATTACTACAATATATATATTTCTTTAAATAGTTTTTAATATAAAATTACAGTTAGAATAATGTATGAAAATACAATAAGTAAAAGAATGTAAAATCAAAATAAATATGTAATATAATTTTTATAATAGCACAATATCTGTAAAGTGAAATATAATGAAATATAATATAACTAATAATAATATATAAATAATACAATAATAAGATGAATAAGATCAAAATGATAATTAAAAACTATATTAATGTTACAATGAAATAAATTAAATAAATTAATACAATAACTAATAATACACTGAATGTACAACACCTATCAATATTTAAGATTAAAGAAAAAAAGCAAATGTTAAATAAAAAAAACTAATCATAACAAAAAACAAGAAGAGCTCTGGCACACGCACCACGTAAAGAAAAAACTACATAAAGAAGTAAATGCTCTCGTCTTTCCGGCCTTCTGTAGCGTTTCTGGCACGGCTACCATATTTGGCGCATTATCTGCAACTTGGCGAGTAAGAATAGAGTTGGCGAGAAGATGGGGTTATATGCAAGTTTAGCCTTGCATTTTTCCTTCACACTTTTGAACACAGCTTAATCTTTACAATTCTTTTTTTTTTTTTTTTTAATATCTCGAAGAAATACTTTCAAGTATTGCAAGAATAGAAGGAAAATGCTTGTATGATAAAGCACTTTTATTTAAAATTTAACGATAAACCTTCTTTACTTTAACAGGAATAGAAAGGCAACATTTTATATAATTATACATTAATCTCCCATTTTTAGTTTTTTTCGCGTCTTAAATTTTCTAACTGACTATACCTGAGTGATACATATTTTGGTTAGTTTTCATTTAGCAGTCATACTTAGAGCATACAGCAAAAATTCAACTACCTACTAATGATAGCATACAGCTTTTTATTATTATTATTATTATTATAGGCATTTTGTGTATTTTACTATCGTCACGTATTTCACAGCTAGAATTTCACAGAAAAAGATTCTCTCTTGGATTCGAGAATATATTCGGAAATTCTGTGGAATAGATTTCACAAACTCCCTTTATATCAAATAAAAATTACATACAAATTACAAATTCAAGCATCTGTTTAAATGAACTTGTTAAACAGCTAAATAGAATATATTAGTTATGCACAACTAAATTAGTAACTACGACAAATTCCGTAATTAATGCTTACTTTACTTTTGAAGTACACCTCCAAGATTCACTTCACAGATTTTAAATTTTCTATCGAAACTTTCAACTAGAAAATATTTGCATTATCAAAAATCATGATTCGATGTTGGAAACCATTCATAAATTGCCAAATTGTTGGAAGGCGTATACAAGGGAATGAACTCCGCCCATTAAGCAATTAAATGGAAAGGCATGTGCTGCCATCTAGTGATTAATAAATTGTACTATAGTGAAATTTCAAATATCACGAACTTATTTTCATTTCATTAAACAAAGAATTAATAACTTTATATACTTTGACACTATTTTATACCTCAGACAAAAATCTGACATAAAAAATTCTAGGACTTGAAAATTTTCTTGTTTTGAGTATTACAGCTTGTCCAGATGTATACATCATAAGTAAAATGAGGAAGCAATGATAGTTGCATTTCCTAGAAGATATCCCACATTTCTGTGTTCCTCAAACCTACGTGCCTTCAGGAATTTTCTGGAAAAAACTGTCTGTATATTTTGTATCCAAGCTATTCTCACTTTTAAATAGTTTTGAATGATGCCCAATATCTGAGGAAACATAAATGCTAAGCAAAACAAGAGTGCAGAAATGGCTGTTATGCATTATTTATGTAAAGGTTTACATTTACTATAAGAAAAGTCCATGTAAACTGTCGTCTTAATTTGAAATCCAAAGAAAGTATTTTTTGACCATAAACATGAATAGTAGAAGAATTAGCAGCGAAAAGTGTTAGTAGCAGATCTTGGAGCAGATTTTCTCCAGTTCTTTGAATTGGTGCCTGATCTCAGAAACAAATGTCTCAAAGATTTAAAAACGCAGTTTAATAACGTCGGCTGCGTGAAAAATGCAGACATTTATTCAGTAAAAACTGTGTTTAGTGATACACCATATCACAAAATTTTAAAAGAATTTCCTTCAATTACTAAATTGTCGATTGCTTAGAAAGGGCTGTTATGCATTATTTATGGAAAGGTAGAGCAATTTTTCTTACATAGTGTGTGTTGGAGACGGCGGCTGCAGACAGACGATTACATAACGGTTCGGCGAAGGTCAACAGAAGGAGCGCCGCATCTGATTGGACTATTTTTTATTATTCTTATTTTTTTTAACTGCGAACTAAGCGGGGAAATTCCCTTTTTTCACTCAGTTATATGTATGCACTTAATAGAGTAATGTAACGTTTTAAGCTTGTGTGAGATATCCATATTAAATCTTTATATTTATAATCCCTGCAGTGATTATTTAATTTGTAACCTGCAGTTGTAGCCCTGAGAGTTGCAACATAGTAAATTTGGCGTCCGCTACTTTATATTTTTGATGAAATATGGATGTAAAAGTTTTGAAAGCAAAACGAAAGTTGCTTTACGGTATGCTGCAACGATATAGCTCAGAAGATCGAAAACAAAAGTTTAAAAAGTGACGAAGTCAGTACGTTGTTTCGGCAGATTCAAGACAAATTCACACGTTTGGACACAACTCAAGAAGTTTCGAATTTGTAGCTGAGTGATGATGCTCTTGAAGAAGAATATTCCGAAGATTTTTTGAAAGCAGAAGAATACCGTGACAAGTTCTGCTTGATCTGTTCGCTGTTAGAAAATGCAAAGAAGGGAAATTCGGTTACGGAAAAAACAACAACCGAGCAAAAAAGGAAATTCAAGCTTCCGAAACTTGAATTGAGGAAATTTAGTGGAGAACCGAAAGACTTTCTTGCTTTTTGGTCCCAGTTTGAAAAAATTCACAACGACCTCTCCATTGTCGATGAAGATAAATTTCAATATCTTTTACAATGTGTGGTAGCAGATTCTAAAGCGTCAAGACTCGTAACAAGTTTTCCGCCAACTAAAGAAAACTATTCAAAGGGTGATCGCACAACTTAAAGAACGCTTCGGGAGAGATGAACTTTTGGTTCAGATTTATGTACGGGATCTACTTTCCATAGTAATGAAAATGCTGCTGGTAGGATTAAAGTAGATTTAGCTGAACTTTATGATTTATTTGAGAGCAAGCTTATGGCTCTTGAAAGTCTCAGCAGAACTAAGGAAAAAGTTGCAGAATTTAGAGAGCCACTTGTTGAGTCCTGTTTACCAGAGACTGTTCTTCGTGCGTGGAAAAGAAGCCGCTCGATGGAAGATACTGCGTCACAACAAGATAGTGCGCGTTCGTTGGATAAACTTTTGTGCTTTCTTCGAAATGAAGTGCAAAGTGAGGAAATGATTAAGCTCGCTCGTACCGGGTTGGGAGCTTCACATTCTGCACATTCGCCTCACCATTGTGATGATCCGGGTTGCTCTACAGCTGCTGCCTTGGTAAATGTTCAAGACAATACAGGTAGGAGGAAATTTACGCTGTATTTTTTGTGAGAAATCCCACAATTCTGCCGAATGTTTTTCTGCTCACAAAATGTCTTTAGAAGACAAACGAAAACTTTTGGTGCAAAAGCGCGCCTGTTTTCGCTGCTTGCGAGTTGGACATAGTTCACGGGCATGCAAAAATAAAGTAAAATGTTTAACATGTGATAGATTTCACTATACCATTATGTGCTCAAATGGCGAACCTGTAAAGCCAAATGAAACTGACAGTACTGTTATTTCCAGTAATGTGTTGTCTAATCAGTCAACTGTTAATGAAAATGTGTATTTGCAAACACTTGTTTTAAAAATAGTTTTTGAGGGTAGACAACTTACAGTTCGTACGATTTTGGACAGTGGTTCTCAGAAATCTTATCTTTCAGAAAGGGTTATCGCGTTTTTGCAACTGCGTCCTAAATCGAAACAAACATTATCCACGGTTTGTTTGGGGAGAGAGAGACACGTCCTCATTCCCATTTAGTGTTGATGTTAATTTCAGAAATTTTGAGGGCACTTATGACCATAACTTTGAAATACTTTCTCAAAACAAAATATGTGAGTGTGTTCCAAAAGTAGTTGATCACCAATACCCTGAAAGAATTAAAAGAAAGAAATATTACCTTGTCTGATTTGCAAGCTAAGGAATATGACATTGAATTGCTTTTAGGAGCAGATGCCATTGGGGACATTATTACTGGCAGTTCTCTGAAACTGAACTCTGGTGTAACTGTAGTTGAGACTAAATTCGGATACACTGTGATTGGTAAAGTAAACAGCTTATCTAAAGAATCTACTTCAGCTACTATTCCAGCATTACTACAAAATAATTTGTGCAATAATGTAGTTTCGTTGCATTGTGCTAATTTTAGCGTAACTGAACTCTGGAATTTGAATGCCATTGGCATAACAGATCCAACTGAAGATGTTAAACGTAAACTTGCTCACTCTGACACCGTTAAGCAATTTAAAGAGAATTTAAATGTTCTTCCTGATGGCCGATATGAATTGCCACTACCCTTTAAATCTGAAATTCTGTTACCTAGCAATAAGTCTATGACTTTTAAAAGGCATCAAAGAATGTCTCAACGAATTAATGAGGAAAATCAGTTAGATAAATATAAGGTAGTTTTTAAGCAATGGGAAGACCTAAAAGTAATAGAAAAGGTGCCTGAAACTGAAGTTGATAATTTGAGTTATTATTTGCCCCATAGACCTGTTATAAAGCATATTAGTCAGACAATGAAGGTAAGGCCGGTGTTCGACGCTTCAGCCCGAGAGAGAAATCAACCGTCCCTAAATGATTGTTTAAATATAGAGGGCCGAACTTAATTGAACTCATACCTGATATAATTGACAGGTTTAGATTGTATTCCGTTGGTTTATCATCGGACATAGAAAAAGCATTTCTTAAACTGAGTATTATCCCAGAACACAGAGATTATTTGAGGTGTTTTCTTCCAACTGTTGAAGAACCCACTGCAGAGTGGTGTTCGGCGTTTGTTCGTCTCCGTTC